CCCCCCCCCCCAGGAATTAGGTCACTCAGCATGGGAAGGTGCAGGGACAGCTAGGACAGCAGCACAATTAGGAAGACAAAGACCAGAGTGAGGTTGCTCTCCCATCTCTCCAGCTTTGGGTCTTCAGTCAGAAGGTAGGGGTTGGGGGATGAGATCTCTGGGACAAGAAGCTGAGGCATTCTCAGCAGGGAGTTGACTGATTCCTGTATTGAACACTGGGTTTTTGGGGGTGTGGGGTTTGGGTGTGGTTTATTGTTTTTGTCTCTATAAGCTCCGCATTTTCCCACTCGTTAGATTTGGGGGTCTGAGAAAGATAGATGATGAAATAAGTAAAACTGGTTTCTAGAAGTTTCCCCCTCCACCTCCACCACCGCTCACCCACTCCTGGCTTTGATATTTCCAAACCCCTCATGCTGACCCTCCCCAAAGCATGTGCTTGCAACTGCGACATCTCCCCAGAGTCAGGGTATCAAGAGCCAGGCCCCACCCCTCCTGCGGAAGACAGTGCATACTGAAAGGGGAAGCTCGGGCAGTAAGGAAAGTATTGGGGTGGGGGGTAAACGGCCTTTTGGGGGCTAATCACACTGTGGGTTCAAAAGGCCTGTCCCGCTCAACAAGGAGAGAAGCGGGTAGATTTGAATGGGGAGCTGGGGGAGTCAGGAGGAATCAAGGGGACCCAGCTCTGGGCAAGAAGAAATTAAAATGGAACAAGCCTTCCCACAAACCCCTCATCGAACCCCGACCACTGAGCCCAGCCAAGACCCTGAGGTCCTATAGAGCTGTCTCCCTTGCAGGCTTCCCACCGACCAGCCGAGAGACATCTGTGCCTCTTCGTGTACAAAGTAAAGGGAGTGGACACCTCCAGGGCCGTAAGGAGTAAAGGGGAAAGCCATGCTGGGTCACCCTGAGCAGAGCGCCAGGCTCCCGCATGCTCTGGGAGCACCATGGCCAGTGTCCTTTTTTCCTTTTATGCTAGTTTCCCTCCGCATTCCCACGGCCAAGGCCCTTGACCCGACGGGTCTTTTTGTCGAAAAGCATGTGCACCTGACGTGGTGTGGCTTAGTGAGAGCCTAGAATCAGGGTCTCTTGGCTCAGATCCCGGCTGTGCTGTTTAGGGTTTCTTGAACTTCAGACAAGCTAGTTCCATTCTCTGCGCCTAGGCTTCCTCGGGGATTAGATGGAGATACTCGTTCCCATCGCCAAAGTGGTTGGGTTGAATACGCTTAAGCTGAGCTGCTTAGTTCTGCCGCTAGCACATGGCGGGACTTAGCAAGGGTTCATTCTTGGTGGTTGGTTCTTCCCAGAAACCTCACGAAGCAGGCAGAGCGTGTCATCTCTGCTTCTCAGAGGAGACTCAGGTCGGCGAGGGTCCAAAGTGTCCACTCTTTATGTGGAAGATGCCAGCCCTGAAGTGACCATTTTGTTGGCTGCCCCTCCCTGTCCTCCCGATGCTAGAGTTTAAACTGATGGTGTTATCTTCCCTCTCCTCCTATTTTGCAGAGGATCATTTTTGTGAAATGTCTTTGCTTAACCCACAGAGACCAGGGCTGGGTTCAACAGCACCCAGTGCTCACCACCCTGTCCCTAGCATCTCAGAACCTCAGGTGTCTCCCTTCACTCTGTGTGCCTGTCCCACTGCCCTGCCCCGTCACGTCAGCATGTGACACTGGCGTAGAACGAAAGAGAGGAGTGACCCATCCACGAGTCAGGAGACGGAGTTGGGGTGGTCCAGGCAGGCGCTTGGCATCGTGGGGCCTCGGGGCTGGCGCCTTACATCACTGGTGTTCGTCTTTGAAAGTAAAGGTTGAGACTAGAGGTCCTTCCAGCTCTGATAGTATATGACTTGTAAAGACACTTGAGAAGAAAAGAAAATCCCCATATATGCAACCTGCATGGTATCGTATGTGTGTTAAAGGGCACCCTCCTTTCTGTGAGCCTCCTCCACCCGGTTAGGGATTGGCAGGTTGGCTGAGGGGCTGGTCTCGTCGAGCACCTGGGGGCTCCAGCTTCTGCTCAGGGTCTTTGGCCAGGGGGAGCCATCTCTACTGCACCATTTGCTGGGCATGCTGTCCCCTTTAATCCTCACGACAACCCCAAGAAAGAACTGGGAGTCATCTTTATTTCAGCAGATGGGAAAACTGAGGCACCGAAAAGTGATAGGACTTGCCCCAAGTCACTCAGTGGTTAATCAGGGCATCTGGGGCTCTCTTCACGTCCATGTGGGTCCAGAGCCCCTCTCTTCCCCAGACACCAAAGTGACCCGCTGCCTCGACTCTCAGATAGGTCTGAGAGTTGGGGAAGCACATAGAAAACTCGATTACTCTATCACCTTGGAGCCCTGCAGCAGCCCAGGGAACAGTCATAAGGGCTTTCATATCTACATGGAAGACATGAGGCTTTAACTTTTGTCTGCAAGTCCACCTACTGATTACCTGGCTAAGACATGTGTCTTGCTTGCTTTCTGTAGTTGATGTCCTTCCCACCACTGCCCAGCCCACCAAGAAGCCCACCCCCAGGAAGAAAATGTGTCGGCCCCCAAGCCCAGTGACCCAGAAGGGTGAGTTCTCCCATTCTCCTGGACCCTCAGAAACAGAGCAGGAAGTTTTCCTTCTTCCCTTCCCTTCCCTTCCCTTCCCTTCCCTTCCCTTCCCTTCCCATGTGTGGACTCTAGCCTGTTTCTCTGGCCCCACCCAATCTGGGGTCAGAAGGGAAGCTGAGTGTGACCACAGTGCTGCCCTCCAACAGCTCACAGTCTGATGAGGAACACGCTTGAAAATTGCCCTAGAGCAAAACTTAATGGAGGATATGTCCACCCCAAAACTTGCACACCAGTGTTCCTTGCAGCATTATTCATAATCGCCAAAAAAGTAGAAACAACTGGTAAATAGATTAACCAAATGTGGACTGTCCATACAATGGAATATTATTTGACCATAATAAACAGTGAAATACTGATACAGGCTACAACATGATGAACTTTGAAAATATTACACAGTAAAACAACAGACACAAAACCATGTATTATGTGATCCCATTGATAAGAAACGTCCACAATGTGACATTTCATAGAGACAGAAAGTAGATTAGTGGTTGCCTAAGACTGGGGAGTTGGGAAGGTATGGAGGAGATTGCTAAAATGGGTATAGGATTTTTGGTGGGGGAGGGGAGATGAAAATGTTCTAAAATTAGATCGTGGTGCTTGATGGGTGCACAATTCTGTGAATATACCGAAGACCATTAAATTATACACTTGGAGCAGGTGAACTTTGTACGTAAAGTATATCTCAGTAAGACTGTTTACAAACAAAAATAACCAACCCACGAGACCAGAACTTTAAAGTTCTTCAGTTTTAATACCTAACAGAGGGCCTAACACACAGTATGTGCTAATATCTTTTTGCTAATGAGTGAACTAACTTGCTTCTCTGTGCTATGAACACCAGACACAGCAGCTGGAGAACACACACACACACACACACACACACACAC